TGTCCATGGGTGTCGTTGATCACCTCGGTGTTCCCGCCGCTCGTTTGCCCCCTTCTCTTATAAAAAAAAAAAGAAAAAAATCATTGAGATCCGTTGATCCGTTCTGAAGATACTTTCTGACAAACATACATCCATACCCATTTATAATACTAGTAAGAAGTGTTTTTAATTAAACTATTTAAATGTTTAAATTAAATGTAATTGCTATTATTCCCTCTAATAAAAACATACTTTTTTCATCTGGATATTAAAAATATGTGTTCTAATTGAAGCTTTAATAACCTTTTTAACCTTTGAACATACTCATAAAATTCATTATGAGATAATTTACAAAGAAACCAAGCATCTAAAATAGATAATTAAAATGTAAGACAAATTATTAAGAGTGGTAGTTGGAGCGCTTCAATGAAGTTGAGCCTTTGTGGACTTTTAAATTAACTATTTCATTATTACAAGCAACCGGGCTTTTATCAATACTAGTTGTCGCCCGCGATTCTGTCCGCGTGGAAATTAAAAAAGTAAGTAGCGTATGTCTTCTTCCAGACTATGTTAAATTTCATCAAGATCGTTAAGCCGTTCCGGAGATACCTTCAAACATCCATCCATCCAAACATTCGCGTTTATAATATTAGTAAGATAAGTAAAAAGCTATAAGCTCTATAAGCAAGTCATCGTCCATTCCCGATAGGCGACCTTCATAAGCGAGAAACTTATTTTAGTGATTAACCTCCATAAGCGAGAAAAATATTACCGGCCCTTGGACTCTCCCTAATCCTGGTTCGACTGTATACAGAGTTATACTACGCGATGTTTTTAACCGCGCACTCCAATTATGACTCGGCGCACTAAAGACTAAATCACAATTTGACAAAGGGCTGTTTTCTATTAAAATGTAGCAACCGACCCTTGTATTAATTGGACAGACGTTCAACTTATATTTTTAACATTTATTTCAATCAAAAGAGTCATTTTAAAGAAAAAAATGTAATAAAAAATAAAGATTTTATTTTAATACGTTTTTCTCCTATACCTACTTAAGACAAAGTTTCTTTGTTATTCTTATGGAACTAATACGTTGTATATCTGTCTTTTTGGTTTTCTGTTCTGTTTCTTGTTTAGGGCTCTCGCTCAGCGGATTTGGCCAGTGTCTTTTTGGTTTTAGAATGTTGAACGTATATCTATATATATAAAAGAAAGTCGTGTTAGTTACACTATTTATAACTCAAGAACGGCTTTACCGATATGCCTGAAAATTGGTGAGGAGGTAGCTTACAGCCAGGAGACGGACATGGGATATTTATTCTTTTTTTTTCTCATTTATGCCTTGAAAAGCTGCTTTTTATTTAACTTACTAATATTATAAATGCGAATGTTTAGATGATGTGATGTGGATGGATGGGTGGGCTACACTTGTTAAGGTTTTTTATATATCCACGCAGACTGAGTCGCGGGCGACAGCTAGTAAATTGATAAAAATTCATTTACTGCTCAAACAATAAATAACAAACATTTTTGATTAACATCAACCATACAAAACTAACATTTCAACAAGAATAATCATCAAAAACTGTTAGCGACATATTGCACTGCCTATAAATAGATGCGCTTTGTTTCCATCAATCCTGGCGTGCCTCCTGACGCCATGTTTTATTTCCAACCAAACAATAGAGACCCCTCAACAACAACTAACACTGACGATTCACTATTATTCTAGAAAATTTGCATCGGTCACATTAAATTGGACGTTTGTTAAAATAACAATTTTACATTTACATTCCACATAATTCTTATTTGGCTTTAAATACGGTTTAATTTTGCTTAATATGATTGTTGTTATTATTTGCTATTACCACTAATAGTGCGTGACTTTGCAGAACAAGCTGTCGGGACTGACAAATTAAATGCATTTCATTGTCCAATCGAAAATGGGACCTTGTGTATTTAGTGGTTTAGAAATTTAAATTACTTTTGTAAGTAACCTAATTTAATTTAATCACATTTATTTATTCAAAAGCTAAATAATACAGGAGCATCGGTGGCTCAGTGGTCAAGCACTTGACTTGCAATCTGCAGGTCCTGGGTTCGAATCCCGCCATGTACCAATGTGTTTTTCAATTTCCGATTTATTATACAAATGTATATCGGACGTTCTTACGGTGAAGGAAAGCATCGTGATGCAACCTGCACATATCTGAGAAGAAATTCAAAGATATGTGTGAAGTCAACCAACCCGCACTTGGCCAGCGTGGTTGACTATGGCCTAATCACCCTTAAATTAGGGTAGGCTCCGAGTCCCTCGGTGGGGACATACAGTGAGCTGATGATGATGATGATGATGATGCAAATAACAAGTTTCTTTATCTGTTGAAGAAACAGGGAAAAAAACGAACATATATTTTTGTTAATACAAATTGACTTTCCAGACATTTAATTCAACAAGTAAAAGCAGAAGAGCTTACACTAATTTTCTATTATTTAAGTTACTGCTTTCTTATATTAAACTAGCTGTCGCCCGCGACTTCGTCCGCGGGGAATTCAAGAAAATCTTAATTAGTAGCATATGTGTTCTTCCAGACTGTGTTCTTTATCTATGCCAAATTTCAGCAAGATCCATGATGCCGTTCTGAAAATACGTACAACCAACCATCTATCCATCCATACATCCAACGAAACATTCCCATTTATGTTATTAGTAAGATTAATAAGATATGCCAGCCCTTGACCACGATCTCACCTGATGTTAAGTGATGATGTGGTCGAAAGATGGTACACGCTAGCTAAGTAATCTACTTTTGAAGGTTCCCTCTACCACGTTATAATTGCTTCGCTGTTGTCAACTATTTCAATCAACCTCCTCCTCCTTATCCTTACTGTAACTACCTCCTTTTCCATACTAGGTAACTCTTTATTCCAATCATTATCACGTGCTAATTTTAGTAGTTGAATTCGTAAGCTTTACAGTTTTTATCTCGTTAAATAAATATAATAAGTACTTATCATTTGAAAAGATCTTTTCAAGTACTTTTCCAATAATTAAATGATGAATAAAAAAGACTACAAAATGTAATATTCAATAGGAGACGAAAGAAATTTTCATAAATTTAAATGGCTTCGTTTAAATTACATTTGTATGTACTTCTCACTATACTTCCTGCTTAATAAAGCCGGAGACCAAGAATCCAATTAAAAACTTTGCGAACGGCTCCTAATTAGACGTGCCGGATATTCAGACGGCCGTGCCAACAGTAATTGCTTTCAAATGAGTGAAAAGAAAAAAAATAAAACGTAGTTATTATGTCAACTCTCTTGTCGGATTCAAAGTAAAAGAATTTGATTTTTTTTCTATTTAATTGTAGTAAGATTTTGTGATATTATTATGACATAACTTACGCGGCGGCAAATAATTCTAAAGGTACGCGTCCATTGGCCCGGACGCACCGCAAGGATTAAACAAATTTGTTTTGTCTTTCGATGTGGACGGCGCGAGATAGACGCAGCGCTATGTAAAATCATACAAAGCAAACTAAAACCATTGCGAGCCGTCCGGTGCGTTCGGCGCGGGCCAATGCACTCGTACCTTAAAAGTAGCACCAACAATCTAATTATTTAGTAATTATAAATACATGGGTTCGAATCTACTAACAGACTAGTATCGTAAACTGTTTCTATATTTGTCAAAAAGAATATGACAAAGTTTTTGATATAAATATTTCTGTGAATGGCAATCTACGGTTAGATATCTGAAAATAGACAAATAGAATGTTGCATCACATATAAATCTAATAAAGATCGCTCCAGTAGCAACGGTCTGTGTGGAGTCATGTTATATTTCAAGTCTGGAACTTGATCGCTGCGATTTGTAGTTGAAAATGATACTGTCTGTTTCCTCGCGTTAGACGTGGCATAGAAATAAAGATATAAGCGATGAATAGACATTCTCAATATTAAATCGTAATATAAATACTGTTAGGAAGAAAATCCGAAAATGAGACAGTGTATTGACTCAACAGTAAGTTTACTAATATGTTGACATTTGTGTCCTCTCGCTATCCATTCTGACACTAGACTTTTTAACGAAAGCACGTCATTAGCGCCTTATGATTGTAATTAAAAATATCTAAAAATACTAATAAATGAGTTATCTAATTATCATTTAATATTAAAATGTTTTATATTATAAACAGAATAATTAACTTTCTTATTTTTCTTATTAATTGCTTAATTACAATTAATTAATGAAATAAATAATATAATAATTTTATTTTGTGGTTAAATATTCTTTGAATGTAATTAATTAATCTGGCAACGTGCTAATTGCTTGTACCAACATGAAAAAGATATGGCAAACATTTGTTGCTATATTGGCCAACTAGCGTAAACCCCTTGGTCAGTAGAATTAAATGTAACATTTAAACGGGACGATAAACACCGTGTTATTTTGGCTGAACGTAGTGAAAATGTTCAACACACAATTCAAAGTGCAGTTTCTATTTTCAATGTTGTCGTAGGAAAATTTGTCAACATTCCAAGCAGGAATAAACACTTGGGAGAATGCTAATAAGCACGTAAAATGCAATTTTCAGTCAAATATATTTACCAGACTCTATTATAGAGATGTCATTATTTTATTCCCTAACATCTCATAAAGCGTGGTACTTATCCATACTCATAATAAATATTACCGTGGGTTTATGAGACCAAAATCCCCGCAAAAGGTATAGTTATTTCTGTTTTGTCAAAGATAACAGGGATGACGATATGTTTTATACAGATATATTTGGTCTCAGAAACCTACGGTAATATTTATTATGAGTATGTTACGTTTAAAATACACGTATATTACAATATACGTTTAAAAAAGTCCCCGAATCACATTACAACTATTGCACGATGACTCATTTGCGCTGCTATTCCATTTGTTAAAAATATTGTTAGTAAAAAAAGAAAATTTAAATTGTACTTAATTTATTATTCATCATTTAATTGTATTATTAATTTTATCACAAAATCTTAAACTAGGAATGGACTAGTGATTGACTAAGACGACATAAAATCAATTAGAGTTACATAAATCCCTATTGAATATCGTAACCTTCTGTAGAGAAATAATACACACCAGTAGCATTACCAGGGTTCCAGAACCCAGCGATAGTCACATCATTGGCAGAACAACTACCGCCTTTATACTTCTTATATGAATCACATTTCCTCGCCAAAAACCATTCAGGATGACTGACAGTTGCCGTCCATAAATCTATACAAGCTCTATGATTACATTTAGCAGCTTTCGGTGAGTCAAAAATTCCTGGTATTAAAGGAGTCTTGCAATTCGGTTGAGATTGACCTTTCTTATTAACAAAGAAATCTACATCGGCTAACACACTCGTGGTTCCCAAAGCACCTGCATTACAATGATAAACTTCAACGTAATCAGCAACTCCAGATCTGATTTGATTTTCTATAAAGCTATTTGAAAAGCATGGACCTGCTGGATCTAATGCTGTTATTCTTGAGATTTTCATGCGTGTATTTTCAAAGAATATTTGTCCTGTATGTCCTAAGATTTGGCCTCCTAAACTATGTCCGACGCAATGTATATTATTAGGTGATATGCCTGCTTCATTTAAAGTAATAAGCATTTGTGCTAAAGCCTTTCCTATGTAGTGAACGTATTTAACTGATCTCTCGTAACTTTTGATGTAACCTTGTTTATCATTCGTGTATGGAGAATGATCGAGTATAATTAGATAGCTGTTTGGAAAGTTTCTAAACGTATCTCTAACACGTTCCTCCGTCCTCTTGTTTATATTTGATTTGTAACCACCGACAAAGATAATGAATCTTTTCGTTTTATCTAGTTCTTTGTAAGATAAAATACCTTTACCTGCGTCGTCTATATTATAAGTTTCGACTTCGTTTCTTGGAAAATCGTAAAAATAGACGTCGATCTCACTGACGTCTAAATCAAGTGTTCTATCGTGAATACCTGGAAAAAAAAATTGTTTTTTATCTAAAATATTATTCCAAAGTACTTACTAGTTATTAATTGTTATATTAAAGATGTTAATTATTGATTAAATATTAAACCTCAGTTGGGAACTGAACCCAAGACCTATACACACTGACATTAAATTACTATAAGGTTATCCCAGATTTATTTTATCTCTACAACAATTGGTTGTAAAGAAAAATTCCTGACTATGTTGAAAAGGTTACATCGTACTTTTATGTGGGATTAAAAATAAACAAATGAAAATTAAAAAAAAAACAATACGAAATCAATAATTAAAAAAATTACTTACATTTTATCAACTTTGAACGTAAAGCAATTTGGAATGGTCCATATTTCTCTAAATCTCCTCTTCCCCAACAATTTATCTTAACAAACATGCATATAAGAACATACAATGATAAAATTTTCATTTTAATGTAAATACACATAAATAAACAAACAAATCGTCAGTTAACTACGTAGTTAGAATGTTAACTGTGCCTTTGACTCGAGCGTTCATTGTCAAACTGTAATGAGATCAACTGAAACGACCAGTGACGTCATATGACACAGTGTAATAAGATTAGAACAGTACAATCACCTCTTTTAATATACCACAATAAACGCATATATTTACGCTAAAGTAAAGATGGATATTAGTTGAATGCTCATGAGAAATTAAGAATATATTCCCAACAAATTAACATTTATTAATGATAGTTTTGTAGCATTTATAACAAAACATATAACTGTAAATAGATGCCATAATTCATTGTTTTGTAAATGCCAAGGTCAAATAACGTTACATGTTATTTACGTATAAATACTCTATATTGTTGTCAATAAAAAGTGCTAATTTTAAAATTAAAAAAAAATTGAATAATATCAAAATATTACAAACTACTTCGCTTAATGTTCATTTTAGAAGTATTTTGTTTGCTCTTTGGTTTTTAATTAATTATAAGGTACGATCTGTGATATGCACACTTAAATTTCAATCTAATTTACTAGTCTTGTCTGAATCACAATACTCGTGTTCTACAATATATAATCTACACCATTTGATAATCTGTATTGTTTGCCACTTTTACATCGGCCAATAGCAGATAAGAACTTATCATTAAAATCGAGGAGTGGGCGCAAATTGTGAATTGTTGACTGACGTAACCGAGACGTTTACCTCGGTGTATTCTTTATATCGCACTAGCTGTCGTCCGCAACTCCGTCCGCCCGGTTATGAAAAAAAATAATGAGTAGCCTATTTGTGCGAAATTTGATAAAATCCGTCAAACCGTTCTGGAGAAACCTTCAAACAAACATGCATCCATTCATATTTATTTTTAAGGGAATCATTAATTATAATACTTGGGAGCAATGAGGTCGAGCCACTGTTTACCTTGAGGAGGCATTTACAGCTTCACCGGGCTTGAGGTGGTCCAGCGCAGATGGCACATAGCCTAAACCTCGTTTAAGAGTAACTAAGCTCGAGGGCTCCCTCAGGAACCTCGGCTCGGGCCGTTACTTCGTTATTATTACCGGGTTGGGGGACGGCTCCAATATTGCTATAATTGACGTACAAAATCGCAACTAATCTTAACACTTTGTGTTAAAGTTTTTGCACCGACATCTAGTCTATTAAGTGCAAACTTCCGTAATTATATAGTTATGTTCAGTCGTGCATTGTACAAGAGATTGTATTGTTCTAGTCGTCACAATATCGGAATAGCGTGGCTGAAGAGTGGAAGGAATATTGATGGCATATTGTGCGCGTCGCTCTAACTATATGCACTTTGTCCTCATCCAGCATTGCGATCTCGCTGACGTACAATATTTCTCACGCCGCCATTCAAACTTGGCCTATTCGCTTTTTGTTTCTAACCTTATCCTTGACGTGAACTCACTTCAGCTAGAGATCACGTATAATTGGACGTTTCTGTAAACTACAAAATTGCATATGCAAACAGTACAATCGTTATTGCTATAACACTAGGATCTATTTTGCTATGTTTCAACTACTTTACTTACTACCTTCTGTCATTGAGTCGTAAATGTGTTGAGCAAGCTTTCATGAGTGACGTATACCGGACATTTCATTGCCCTATTGTTCGTGTTTGTCGATATTGCTGGAGTCAGTTCATTTGATTTTGAGGTTTTGTATGTTCATTTATGATAACCGGTGCGGCTGCAATAGGTCCAACCTAAACACTTTTCTGTTGCTCAGTAGGAGTTTTCGTGATAACTAAAAGACTTGTTTAATAAAATAAATAAAATTTAATGTATGTATAACTTACAAGTTTGTAGTCAGTTGGTTACTAATTATTTTTACACACCACACGAGACGTCTTGAGGAGTATCTTCAACAGACGATATGTTAAACAGCAAAATTAGCAATTTGATTAGCTTCATTACTCTAATAGATATTTCTGGTCAAATTAACCAACAATCTTTGCAAAGTTGGGGAAATCTGGCCATATATCATCAGTATCATTAGCACAAGATGACTTTTTTTCCAACTTGCTTTCCTTAATTCCTGATCTTTCATCATTCAAATGATCAGCCAAGGTTTCACCACGATTCATTTTCTGATATTTCACTACAAGATCTAAAACTTCATGTTGCATTCGTAAACGGAGATCACTTCTTAAATTCCTCATTGCATTACCTACGTATTGTCCGAATACAAAATCTTCATTAACCTGATGAGTTAAAAATTCCCGTCCAAGTTGTACAAGGACTTCTTTGACTAGTCTTGTTGCTGACGAGTTGCTTGTACTGTTTCCTACTGAACGTGGGGTTTGCTTCCACGTTGGTTTTTCATATTTCGGTCGTATAGCAGGTGGTCCGATAGCGACTGACACAACCTCATCGTTCTCAATGTCATCTTCTTCTAGCGGCTTTAGGTGACCAGATGGCTAAAGAAACAAAAACATGCAATTAGAAAATTATAAATTATAATATTTTGTAATTTTAACAATTTACTATATTAATAAATCTCAGAGATAAGTAGGATCTTCGGATAAGATCAAAAATATTATATTATGTGACATACAAGTATAATCATAAATTCATACTTTCTTCCTTAACTCTCTAGATCTCTGAGTGGTTGTCCTTCGTTTAACTTCGTTTTCGTTTTGTGCCATATGTCGTTTGGCATGAATATGTACAGCCTTGGTTGTGTCTCCTGAAGACCTCCTGCCGTCTCCTCGCCATGCCTCCTGCAACAATCAATCATTTCCTTTAAGTTCTACAATATAGTATTAGAATAGAAAGGTGGAAATGGTGGCCTAATTATCCGTCGCCCTAGAACATCCTCAACACCGGAAAACCCTCAGACGCGTGGAGTCTAAACTCTATTTCCTAGCCATCTTCTCCCTGGGCTTATCCTACCCAGCGTACCAGGGTTTAACCTTAATGTTTTGGCTTAATTTACTGGCTGCCTGCCCGTTGCCCAGCCAGCTTCTAAGCACTTATGAAGAATTGAATCCGGTACTCACAACAATAACCGTCGGCACTATGAAAACAATTAAAAAAACGGATAACATCTTTGCGTCCATCGCAAATTGCTAGCAATCACTGACTGTGCATTCATCAATACTTTACTTAAGACAAAGAGTACGTTGGTGTTTTGTTGACAAAATATGCATCATTTGATTGAATAAACAACGGATTGTTGTGATGAGATAGAGCATAGTGTATGCGGATCAACTTACGTAGGTTTTTTATTGTTTATTCTTGAATGTTAAATTCATGCTTGATCTATTAACCTACTTTTATTTCCTACATTGTAAAGACAATGACTAAAAATTGAATACAACAAAAAATTATAAAGACAAGGAAGAAACAAATCATTAAATACCAAGATATGTTGCATTCTATTTCATGTCATTTTTATTTTCAAATGTAAATATTTATCTCAAATACTTCTCTACCATATCATACAACGTTATAGAATGCGATGTTTATTGGTAAATACATTTAGTCCAGATAACACGGACTCATCCTGTCCAATCCATGCATCTGTCCATCTTGTAAAGCCACTCTCTATTTCCATTCATTATTAATTTAAAAAAAATATGAAGAAGTAATCATTTCGTAGTACTTCCTATGTATTTTCAAAATAAGCAAACTAAAACACAACTAACACTACGTACATGGGAGCGGTCGGTTGTCCTCAGTGTTACAAGTTTTATCCTCTCCCAACCCCCAGCCCTATATGTACAGAACAAATAAAGTGCTATGAACTCTGATGCACCTGTAATGTTCGCACGCTGCTTTGCCTCTTGCACCCACTTACGTTACCCCGGACATGTTGGTAAATATTTAAAGCTTACTTCAAGGTGTAAAGTAGAATTAAAAAGGATACAGGATAAAATTAAAGTATTTATTAACTGAATTGACTACAGTTACTTTAATATCTGCTTTAAAACATACATTGGATCTTCCTCATCATCATCATTCATCTACATGTCGCTCACTGCAATGCGTATACCATCTCAAAAGATCGGCTAGATGATAGGTCCTGTACAACCCTCTTTCAAGGTACTCCAGCAATCTTAACCAGATCACCAGTTCTTCTTCTGTTTTAATATATGGAACAGTGGTAGAGCCCGCTTTAACATCTTCGACCGCGGCCACGACCACACAGAAGACAGGCGTCAAGTGGAAGCAATTCCGCGTTTCGACTGATGAGTGCATCACGGAGGTCTTATTTAGTCCTCTTACCCTTCCCAACCTTTTTCTTCTAAGGAAAGGATGGGAGGTAGAAGTGGACTTTTCGGATGAGAGGATGCATGGAGATATTTTCTCCAAAGGGAAGATATTTTCTTTCGGTTTCTATCATCCTGGTGTATGGGCAACGCTCATTTCGCTATTTCAGCGATTTGAGGTGGCAGCTCGCTTGTTTGCCATCTTATGATATAAAAAATAATAATACATGGAAGCAAAAAAATTGTTCCACGATATAAGTTGAATTAAAATGGATAGTCATTATACTAATGTTCAACGTTTATCGTAAGTAGAGCGATGGTAACTTGATGGGAAATGAAAATGAATCCGGTGATGTCTCTTGAAACGTTAAATGCATCGCTTTTAGAGCGTAATATTGTATTGTTTCAATAATTATGCTGCAACGGATTTGTAACTCACATTAAATCCCATCTAGATTGTGATTTAAAAAGAGCAAATATTATTTTAATTCATTTAACTAAATAACCATAAAATATGCTTCTCCATTCTCAACATCTGTTCAATCAGTAAAACAATCAAACGATAATGGAATTTATTTTGAACAAATTAAACTTTTAAGCGAGAACATTTGTACTCACTAGAGTTTCTACGATGTTATCTAAAAGATCCTAAAGCGTGTTTATTACCTTCAGTTACGATAGAGGTCTAATTAAACTGGTTACATACATGATAAGTTATAAACTATTCAACTAAACTAGCGATAAACATAAATTTACTAGGTATCCCCCGCGATTTCGTTCACATGGAATAAACAAAAGACTTACTTAGTTTATGTGTTCTTCCAGACTATGCCAAATTGCGGCGAGATCCATGCAGCTGTTCTAGAGATATCTTCAAACAAACATCTATCCATCCATCCAAACATTCACTTTTATAATATAAGTAAGATTAGCATAAAATAAATATACAAAATTAACTTAACGTCATACGAAGAAATGAATTACAATCAAATTTTACGAGTAAATTACATTTTTTGACGTTGACTGGGGGGCGCTAGTGTGCTATCATAATTTCATTTGACTTTTGTCCACCGAGTCAGATATCCTTATTGGTGTTTACTGTAATTTAGTACCACTTATGCCCACCAGGTCAGATAAATCCTGTTAGTGTTAGTTTTTTGAACATAGTTTGTAGTTTCCAATAAGAAAAACATTCACGAAGGCTTAAAGTGTTAAAGCACTTTATGGAAATTTCCATTCGCCGTCGGTTAACATTCACAAAAGATACACAATCTAAAGTTGACGTCGTCACCGAACTAACACCAGAACTCAGAGCTTTCGTGCTTAAAGCTTTCCCTTGTCAAATGTTGACTCTGACACGTGTGACGTCATGACCTCGCTAAAATTGATTTAAAAATGTATTTCAATTTAAACTTTTTTAGAGGGACTAACGATTTTTAAGACATATATGTAACTTCGACAAACATGCACACAGACAAAGAAGCAAACGTTATTCAAATTTTAATATCCGATTAAATATTTAAGGCAAACTTATCATCAGTGTTCAGAAATCCAATTATAAAAATGCTAATGTTATTTTATATTCAACATTGTAAGATAAAAGGTCATTCACCCCGTCATGAAAATAAGGAACGAAAGTGATTGTACGTAAAGATTTAAAGGGCTCGAGTACTATGAGATTTATCCTTTATGTCTCTTTTATTATTCACTTTACGACATAACATCGTCTTTGATGCCTACCTTAATGTTCTATTATATACTTTTGCTTATGAAATATTAAGTTATAATACTGACTAGCAGTTGCCCGCGACTCCTTCAGCGCAGAATTAAAAAAAGTGGCCTAAAATATACCCGAATGCAGATATCTTCCAGTCTAAGTCCAGCCGTTCCTTAGTTTATTCGAAACAAACCCGGCCTTGCGACAAAGAGGCGGACAAAAATTAAAAAAAAAATGTTTTTAGTTTTTTTTGGGTAACAGAAGAGGGCAAACGAGCAGCGGGAACACCGAGGTGTTCGACGCCCATGGACATCAGCAATACCAGAGGAACCGCAGATGCATTGCCGGCCTTTGAGATGATACGCTTCTTGAAGGACAATAAGTCGTAGCGGTTTGGAAAGTTAATAGAAACGCAAGTACTATATGATATTAAATACAGATATTTATAACAGTAATATAATGAGTATTGATTTATTATTCTTACTGTTTTTAAAATTCTTAAGCAAATGTTAATTTGTGTAAAAATATTTTATATAATTAAATTATATAAAACTACTAAAATATCATTATATAAATAAAACAAAAGGATACATAGAGGTATAATTTTAGAATGTGTTTCAACAACTTTACCTAACTAAAATGTAGCTAATTTGCAATGCATATAATTTCTCTCAAAGTAATGTTAGCGAAATTAAACAACAGCATTTTCATTTAAAACCTCCATACAAGCTGAGCCATTTAACACTGACAGAAAATAAAATACACAGTACTTAGAGTGTAATTTTGTATAGTTTTAGCTTAGTTTACAGCCTAGATAAATCACTTGAATTGTTGAATGCACATGAAAAGCCGCGGGCTGTGGACGCTTGGCCCAAGTGATAAGCTGAAGCGTTTTCTGTATATTTATCATTATTATACGATTAAGGGAGTGGAAACTGAACTGACAGAAGATATATCGATCTGAAGAACGGCGGGGAGATCATTGTTTTTTTATTATAAAGTGGCAAACAAGCAAACAGTCAGATGAATTCACTGAAAAAGCGTAGCGACAGCTACCCATAATCATACGTCTATGCATTTCCTCTTGCATCAAACCCACTTCCCCTTCCTATCCTTACCTTGTAATGAAATAGCGGGAAGGGAAAGAGGAATAAAATAAGGCCTCCGCACGCTCATCAAAAGAAACGCGTAATTACTCCTACTTCACGTGATATTTCAAGGGTCAAGCTGGACAATTCGTGCAACAAATATTCTTGTCTTTGGCGTCTACCACTGTCGGCTGGTGATGACGATAAAAATCTAATTTCTTACTTCTACTAAGTAATCATTTATTTACCTTATTTAAATATAAATGTAATTATTTAATTACCTTGGGCCACAATTAGAGAGGCGCAATGCAAGCCGCGGCCAATGCCATTTGTTAACTTAACGTTGAGCTATTTGGAAGTCGCGACCGCGTGGTGGCGCTGGCGGCGCGTTTATTGCAACCCCTCGTCACGTCGCGAGCGTTACTCAACAAACAATTGACAACTTAATGACAACGAATTAGTCTATAACTCACATGACAAACTTATTATACGACTAGCTTCTGATATTGTATCCAAAGATTAACTTGCGAATTTTTATCATTAATTTCCCGTCATACCTTGTGGTGGACTTGACCCATCAGGTTGCAGAGTTCCAGATCGATCATTTTATTTCTTAATCATGCCACTTTACATGCATTTCATCCAACTCTTCTTTTGCCTACCCCTACCTATAAGTAATTTCTATGCGTCTGATTAATTTTGATATGCAATTTACTAGACGTGATTGTGATTACTTTGTTTAGAGATAATTTACTTTGTTTGCTCTTACGAACTTCTGATATAGCTCAAATTCACATTTTTTTTTTCATAAAAAATAAAAATCTCAAAGTATTTAAATAAATTAAGCCCATTATGATATTATCAATTACCTGTCTGTCGCCGACTCCCATCGCGTGAAATTAAAAAAAAACTTAATCAGTAGTCTACGTGTTCTTTCTGGCTATGTTCTGCATCTATCGAGGATACCTTCAAAACATCCAATCATCTAAAAATTCGCATTTATAATATTAGTAAGATAGACTGAATATACCATTTTCTTTTATAAAACAAGTGCACTTAAGGTCCGTGACGTAGTTTATATGTAGCTCTTTATTGCGTTACAAGGTTTACGTCGACTCCTCCCCTTACTCTACTCACGTTATATTAAGCTTTGAACAGAGGATTTTATTACTACACGTTACAACCTAATTTAAGCAAAATTGTAATAAAGCAAGAGAATTTCCTTGATAAGGATCTTTTATGGTTCTTCATTTTCTTCCTACCGAGGCCTTTTATATGTAACGAAATTATTAAATTGACTTTCAGTTTAATAATTTAAGTTATGATGTGAAAGAAATATGAGCAGATTTTTTGTAAATTTACTAATGTCTCTTTTACCATTCCAACTAAGCGCTAAGCTTGCGCTAGGATATAGGTTCACGATAATAGTCGAATAGTGGGATTCGAACCCCCGACCTTGTGATCAGAAATCTGTACTCTTAACCTAACCCAACCCAAGCTAGGGAGAGAGAGAGAGAGTACTATACTTTTTTAGCCGACTTCAAAAAGAAGGAGGTTAACAACTCGTCCGTATTTTATATGTGTAACGTGTAAGTCCGCTCCTGATTTTGTGTTTTTAAACTGGCTTTATACCGTTTGTTTTATCGATTTAAAATGTAATTTCAGTCATTTGATAAAATTACTAGAAAATTTTATAAAAAAAATTATTTTTTTTAATTTAACAAAAACCTATCAACTATATTCTTTATAAAATGATTGATACATAAGATCCCAGTGAGCACTTCTGTTGCATAAAGTAGAAAGAAACATTACAGCATTATACTAAAAGCGTAATTGACAGTGGATGTTTGAATTTTCGCCTAAAAGCAAAATGTAATAAAAAAAAAAAGAAGAAAAATATTTACGCAGCAAAGTGCGCGCTCGCTTCACAAAGTTGTGGCTCGAGTTTAAGCGGTTGAACGAAGTTGAGTTTATTCTTAAACTTTTAAAAAAATAAAAATTTAAGTATTTTTAATACACTTACTTTTAGCATATAGCAAGTGGATGTAGTTTATTTGGCCACTAGCTGTCGCCTGTGTCTCCGTTCGCGTGGAATTAGAAAAAAAACATAATAAGTAGCCTATGTGTTCTTCCAGACTATGTTCTACATCTATGCCAAATTTCATTGAGATCCATTTAGTCGATCTGGAGATACCTACAAACAAACATCCATTCATCCATCCATTAGTAAGATTAAACTTTTATAGTAGTAAAAACAAAGATACAGTTAACTAGTATAATATAAGCGGTAAATTGAAATGAACTTACTCTAACCGTGGGTTTCTAAGACCAAAATCTTCGTTTAGAAGATATTGTTATCTCTCTTCTGCCAAAGATAATGACAGGGATGACGATAAGTTTTATACAGAGATTTTGAATTCAAAAACCAATGATAAGTAGAGCAAATACTTTTAATATTCCAACTCAAAATGAACATAATTTATTGTTAAAATATTCACTATTAAAATCTGTTAAACATTATTAAATTAATTCATATTTGTATTAAAAGGAAACATACAAAAATCAACCTTATTTCAATAGGTACAGAATTGATATTGAAAGCGTTTAGAAATTAGTTCTACACTACATAAACCAGTTTAAAATGACCTCTGACTGCCTATGGAACGTATCGAACATATTCTAACAAAACAAAAGCGTGTAATTGTGGAGAGATCCACTTATATTGGTGACCGTTCTAAAAGCATTCGTCAATTGTATTGTTCCAATAGACAAGAACGAAGTGTTTCTAATTACAAACACGATTGCGAATACCATCAATATTGCTCCAGCTCCAGTATATTGTTTCCTTTTTGAAAGCATGAATGACGTATACGTACTGCGGACTGCTTTCCGGCATACAATTTAGCTTTTGACTTTGATCGTTGAAATATACCATATAAGTTAATATATAATGTAATACATACAATTATGTTCAATATAATAAAGGTAGTAATTATGTATTTGGAGAGATCATCGGCTCACTTTACGTCCTAACTGAGGGTCTCGGACCCTACCCAAAGTCACGGGTGACTACCACGCTGGCCCAGTACTGGTTGGTTGATTTCACACATATCATTGGATTTCTTCTCAGATATGTGTAGGTTGCATCACGATGTTTTCCTTTACCGTAAGAACGTCATAATAAATGTGCATATGAAAATCGGAAATCGAAAAACACATGATACATGGCGGGATTCGAACCCAGGACCTGCAGATTGCAAGTGAAGATAATCATACGATATCTTTTAAAAGAAAAACGATACAATAATGAAAAGAAAAGAAAAGAAAAGAATAGAATAACCACAAAACACTAGATGCTCCTTTCGTATTCTATGTATGCCCAAAAGATACAAAAAAGATCGGTTTTAAATAAAATTTCAACTTAGTGTCTCACATTTGAGCAACTTTAAGCAAACATAAAAAAGTTAAAGTTAAAATGACCTGTCATAGAGATGCAAAAAATTAAAAGCTCGCATCAAAAAAGCCCCGCTCAAGTTTCTTCCGACGTACTTCCATCTAACGCTATTCATACGAAGGTAGAATAGTGTTGCAGAGCAGTAGACACTGCTATTGTTTAATACCAGACTGTTAAAACTACATTGTAGTACTGCACTGTTCTTATCTATCTCTGTTCTGCCCTCGTGTGAAACTAGCATAAAGCAGCTTTCATTTATTTTCCAATCCCGCTACCGACCAGTGTGAATTTAGCGTAAAATGAATGTTGACTCGTTTCTGTTTTGTTTCTACTTTGGAAAGTTAACTAACATATTGGATTTCACATTTGCTGTATTCAAACGAAATTGGATTGGATTTTTACGTTTTCGCAACAAAGATATAGATGTCATAGGATATAACAAAAAGCATAAGGTTATCATAAAGTTATAAAAATGTGCAATAAACGTGAAATAACTTTGTAAGTTTTTTATCGAAGGGGGAAACGAGCAACGAATCGCCTAAAATTATTGGATCCGACGCCCATAGACATCCGCAAAGCCAGAGGAACCGCAGCGTTGCCCCGCATTTAGTGGAGGTGTACGCTATTTTCTTAACCTAAGTATCCTGTTATTCATCATGGAAAAAAACCTTTAAACTTATGAATTCTGAATGAAATCATAGCAATATGCGGTGACGTCCAAAATACTTTTAGTGACACGTATACATGAACAGTACTCATATGAATGTTTAACTACGATATATTTACACAACAAAAGCAGCAATGATTCGATGATCAATATTATCATCACGTCGCATTCAAATTGCTGACCGGGCGCCTGAAGAGCTTTCTGACAATGTTATACCGAGCAAATTTTTCAGACACTGTCCAAGTTAAGAGCGATTTTTTTTTACATCATAACGTGGCAAATGAGCGAGCGGCCATCTGAAATCGCTGAAATAGCGAAGCGACGTTTTCCCATACCTTCTAACGACGGAGGAAGGGATGCGCAGAAAGAGAATGTTTTCCTTCCCATGGATCCTCTCCTCCTCGACTTCTACTTCGCATCTGTTCCTTATAAGAAAAAAAGGTGGGTAGAGAAACAGGACTAAATTAAGACTACGGGACGCATACTTATCAGACGAAACGCGGAATTGTTTCCACTATTCGCCTATCTTCCTTATAAGGAAATGATGGCAAGGGGAACTGGTGGAGGGGGCGCATAAGATTATTGGAAATATCCTCCCTCTGTAAGTATCTTACCTTCTCCTACATTTTTCTCGTTTACTGTCTCGGTCGCCGATAAGTTGTACCATACAGTTGCGTGAAGAACACATATTTTCTGGTACAGCTCGGGGGCGGGCGTGATCAAATTATGCAGCTCAAAACGGATTCCGCACGAGGTTCAAGTTGACGCAGTGCATTCGATTTAACTTAAAAATATATCAAAATGTATCAAAACATAAATACGTGTTCTTATTTCATACTTATTTCCTACAACCGTGAAATTTGTATGACAATATGTTTTAGTAAAAGTACTGCGGCGGTGAAACCTACATTTACTTTAGATTAACAATTTTTTTAACTAATTTATCCTTTGTACTTTTATTTTTATTTTTTATCTTTTAATCTTACTAATACTATAAATGCGAATGTTTAGATGGATGGATGTTTGATAGAAGACTTTCAGAACGACTCCATGGATCTCGCTGTAATATAGCATAGATGTAGAACATAGACTGGAAGAACACATAGCCTACTTGGTATTTTTTTTAATTCCGTGCAGACGTATTCGCGGGCGTCAGCTAGTATTCAACAAGTAATTGTATTATATAAATTTCCTAGTCAATATTAAATGAGTTGATATTTACAATAATGATATAGTTCGATTGAATTTAATTTATAATTGAGCAATAATTTCATTCAATATGTATAATGGAAATCTACTTAATTTCGAGTAAATTATCCAATATGCTCAGTTTACATGGAACTTTGCAACAAACAAACATACCTTTGCTAACTACATTGGTATAGATTTTTAGATTAACAAAAGTTTTATTCCTTTTACTCAAACTTTTTAATTCATAATTATGAATAACTCTAAATCATCGTAAGTACTTTTTGACTTTAGAATTCAAATAAAATATACAAAATTCAAATGAAAAATAAATTACTAAGGTCTCACGTATTTTAAAATTTATTGTTTAACCCTTAATTCGATGGTGTGTGACGAACAACTAATTAAAGAAATCTACTGAACTAGTTTAGAGAAAATTACGTTAGTTTGACTTTACTAAAAAATTGGCGTAAATTTGGGCCATAAACGGTTGTATATTTTGATAGCGTTACTTTAGAAGAAAAAATTTTATTTTTTCACAGCACCTAGCGACCGCAGACCTGAACATTTGATATAAATTCCAGCTTGATACCTTCACGCGTTTTCGAGAAAAAGGGTCTTAACAGACGGACGGACGGACAACAAAGTGATCCTAAAAGGGTTCCGTTTTTTTCCTATGAGGTACGGAACCCCAAAAAACTGTTTTTTTGCTACAAAAATTTTCGTCGAATTAAGGGTTAAGCGTGTTTCAAACTCTTATCGCTTAAAAAAATGTCACTTTAACTTCTCTTGCCTTGTTTAACTTTCAGATTTCAAAATGTATTATCCATACACTACATAAAGGTGCATCGTTTATTCCTATGGATACTAGGCGCTTGGCCTGAAGAAATGTTCGATGAGAAAATTACATTTCTCACCAGAAATCATCGAAGATCAATGATGATACAAATAGGACTCGTAATGTTGGGACAATTCAACTATTTGATACAGAACAGGAAGAAAATCAATGTTTTCGACGCGGGACATGTCTGTCTGACGATAAGTTTGACAGTTTTGACATTTTTAAGTATCTTTATATACTTGCTGACGTCCGTGAATCCGTTTAATAAAAATTAAAAGTAGTAAATATTCCGGGCTAAATTCCAAATTTCATTAAGATCCGTTGTGCCGTTGCATAGATACCTTCTGAAAAACAAATCATCCATACACCCATCCACCCATCCACCCATCCACCCATCCATCCATCCATAGATTGGTATTTATAATATTGGTAACATCAGAAGTCATGTACACAACTTTTCTAAAAAATACTGTATGGCTTAAAAGATAGTGTTTTGACTAAAGTTTCGAAAATAATTCCACATATTTATATAAAAAGTTATATTTTCAGGTGAGAACAATTCTGCTCAGTTTAAATAAATACGGAGTAATCATAAAAAAATTCATTGCAAAATTTCATTTAGAGAATTTTAAACAAACAGGAAAACATTTTGA